TATATGTATAAATATATATATACATATTATATGTATATACAGGGCGATCGAAAAAAAACCTTACAACTTGTTTTTTAAATATCTTCCTCCATACTGAAGTTTTGCGTTTCAGGTTTGAACATAACGTTTGGAAGCCAAAAGGAATTTTTCAGATATGTATTTTAGATAAGTCCATTGAATGGTTTTGCTCTATATAGCACATTAAAAAAACCAACCCATTTTCAACCTTGTCGCCATTTTCATAGCATGACGCACCAATTCGCATTAGGTCTACCACTAAAAGTTGCAACAATCGCGCCATATTGAAAGCTACAGCAGTCTAATAAGTCAACAAGTCTGCAGATATTATTTTTCCGAAATTTTGTTTGCCTGCTGAGATCATGGCTACGTTTAGTAAAGAGCAGAGAGCTTTTTGTATTGAACATTACCTCTCCACAAACTCACCATCCCTGACATTTCGTAAGTTCTGCACACGGTATGGAGAGAATGCTTAGGTGCCCTCAAGACCTATGGCGTCATGAGTAGAGAAGTTCCGTCAGTTTGGATCTAAAGCGATTCAGAACTAAAAAGTTACTTAAAAATGACCACTTCAGGTCGAACTGTCCGTAGACGATCTGCAGCTAGGACTTTCCTACACATCAACAGTCTGCATTCTCATGGCAGATCTTACCCTACGACTATACCATGTTCATCTTCGCTAGGCCGAGATGACATGGATCAGAGCATGACAATGTGTTCATGATTCCTCGATTGTCTTGTAAAGAGGGATCATTTCCTTGATGGGATTTGGTTTAGTGCAAACCCCATTTTCACACTGTGGGATATGTTGACTCCAAAAATGCTGTCTATTGGGTACCCCACTCTATTGTCTCTAGAAGCCACTTCTTAGTGAACATGTACAGTGTATGTGGCTTTATAAACTCATGGTTTAGCAGGTCCTTGTGCTAGGGCGCCACTGAACATTTCGAACGACCCGTTAAAAATGTGTCGAGTCCTAAGGAGGGAATGTGGAGCACTGCTTCTAGAAATTTCAGAATGATATCATTAGGTTTTTAAAACTCTGTAAAAGAAATAAAACATTGCTTAAATGTCACAGGGATGGAAAATTAATGTCAAAGAGAAAATAAAGAAAAAGGTCAACTAATCTTTTCACGACTTTCTTTACAAGATTTTTAAACATTGGTGAACTTTGCGTTTTTTGAGTGCTTTTTTCTTTTAGCCGTTTCCATTTTCAAAACCTTTTTCTTCTTCGTGGATTTTAAATCAAACGAATTCCTTTTGAATGAATCATGTCAGTTCCAAATTACAGCATTCTAGAACAATTTTTGCGCGAGATATTCAGAAAAAAAGTTGTAAAGTATTTGGATCACCCTGTATATGTATAAATATATACACATGTATATATGTATAAATA